TTCTTTTTTTTTCCAAACTCTCAAATTTATAACAGGACTTGTTAAAATGAAACATGTACAGTGAACTACTGCAATGAATATTGTGAGGATCAGAGAAAAAAGGAGTGCATCTGYTTAAAGCTTTTTGCATTGGTGGAGGACCATTACTGTATTCAGCAGACACAGAGCAAGTCACAAACATTAGTGTAGTATGTTCTCATTAGCTCCAGCTATTTAGTAAATACGCTGTTCTTAGTGTGGGAAGAGTGCCTTTTGCAACATGAGCCAAGTAGAAGATAGCAATCTAACTTGAAGGCAGCCAATTCCACATATATTAGAGAGAAACAGAGGGAGTTTCTTCTTGGCAGTTACCAAACTTTGAACATGCAAGGTCAGACATGTTCAGTCTGTGTCACGCCGGAGCAGATTTACGACAAAATGCTGATGTTCCCCCAAGCATTTTCTTTAGTCTTCGAAATTACTTTGTCCAAGTTGTTTTTTGTTTCTTTCTCATCCTATACTGCGCTAGCTGCACAGTATATTGCTGGCTTAGTGTTGATGTTGGTTTCATCCCTAATACTTATGTGTATATGCTGAGTGGTTGCATTCCTAGCCAATGTAGGATTATGGGACAAAGTTCTCACAAGACTACAAGCAGCTGCTTCTGTGGACTGCAGAGGTGAAGCAGTGAAATGAGATTGCTCATCACACTTTAAGTGATCTCTGTTTAAACAAACATAGAAGAAGATCTGAGCATGAGTCAATTTTAAGCACCATAATATTTTGATAGGAGTGGAATGACTTTACTGGATGCAACCTGCCCAAATCATACACTACCAGTTTATGTCAAATACCTCACACTTATTGTGTGACATTTTAAATTAATAATCCCCTTGAGATAGTATACACAAAGTCCTATTTCAATTCATTGGAGATTTACTTGTCCTTATTGTTGTAGACCATAACATAAATAGAAGTACCCTACTGACTTTCAAAACAATAATCTACTTAAACCAGTTTCACTACTGCTTTTAGTAAGCAAARTATTTATTGTAATACTACTTTGTGTTCAATCATTTTAGCAATAAGACAGCTGAATGTAGGATCTTTAATTATTTCTATACTTGGTATGTACAAACTTCCYATCTATTCTAAGTTATTTGCTGATTCTAGTTTGCTTGCTACCTAATAAAATCTTTTTTTTTTTTCCGTGGCTTTTATGGACTCAGATTTAAAGGACCTAAAACATGACTATTTGTGAAGCTATGTACACTTACCTACTCAGCGAAGATACACAGATACAACCACTTACTTAAATGACCGATCACAGCTCTCATTTTTCTGCAAACTACACAGAAAAAAAGCCTAATTTTGTTCTAAAATATTTATGAAGCTAAGTTGATGCCCATTACATTATACATTCCACRCTGTATGTAGTTGTAATAAGGTATAAACAAACATTGCATATTTTAATACTAAATATTTACACTCRCAATAATTTCCATATTCTACTGCATTTCAAAATTTCATTATAATTCATTAACATAATTTTGAAATAATAGATCAAATTATTGAGCAGGATTGTGGCAGTATAATATGAGAGTGACCAACATACTTGCACTGCATTTATTGTGAGCGAGCTTCATTCAAGCCATGATTCCAAAGTATTTAAGGAAAGTCTACACCCATGGCTGTATCACCTAATGATATGAGTTTAGCCAAGTCATGTATACTTACACAATTGTATTTCAAACACCTTTGTTGAATTAGCAAGAGGCCACAGTAGTGGTTTTTTGAGGGTGTGCACTGCCAAAGCCTGACACTCTCAGCTGAACTGTGCCCAGCATTTATATGCCTGATGTAGCCATGGCAAGTTTTTCAGTAGCTTTTCCCAGGGCCAGACTGTTCCACAACCAGTCTTTTGGAAAAAACAGGTAATTTTTATCTTAATCCTCCAGGAACAATGCACCACTTCGTGACAGTTTGACAGAGGGCTTGGATGGCTTAAACCCTGTTTACCCTCCAATTCCTCTCCTGGTGACTAACCTGTTAAGTGCTATGCTCTTACCAGAGGTATGGAAAACTCAAGTGGGGCAGGCTGTGAATGCTGCTGCCAGGTTGTTGCTGGGGAAGAGGTCTAGCAGAGTCCCCAGGGTTAGCTATGGGACCCCTGGGTTCCGTGATTGGAGTGTCCTTTGCATGGCTGGGACTGCTGCACTGACCCCACCTGACTTCCTGCTGGAGTGCATCTTTTCCCTGCGGCAGGAAAGGCAGGGGATGTTAGAGACCATCACACTGACTGGCTTGGCCTCCATCCCGAATTGCACAATCTCTCACACACAACAGGGAAGTTGTGTCACTGTAAACTTCTAATATTTATCTGTGACTAGAAGTGCTTTAGTATCCAGGACTATCCAGTCTCCTCATTGTCAGCTCAGCCTTAAACCRTGACATGCTTTCACTGAGCAGCATRAAGAGAGTTGTTGCTAAGGCAGGGGCTGGTGATAGAAATTTTAAAAATTTATACTGAAATTCTCGGAGAAAGCTCCCTTGTGCAGTGACCACATACAGCAAGAGAAGTTGCATGCAAAGGTGAATCAGGGGAGGCTGAGCTGGCTGTCCTGGGAGGAATTCTCAAYGTCAATAAAATTACTATCCATGCTATTAACATCTGAGTCTTTTAGAAAAGTTGATGGCAGTCAGAAAAGCTGCAAATGCCTGGAGAGAAAAAGACATTGGAAAAAACACACAGAATGGATCATCATCACCTCAAAACACTACCTTCTATTTGAGGTCTGTGCTGAACATACATGAGATAGCAGTGGTCATCTCAGCAGTTATACTGAGTTGAGAGGCAGATTGCTGTGATTTGGAGGCTGGAAATCASAAACTGCATTATGGCATTGTTAATCAGTGGGGAGAATGCAAACAGCCAGCAAGGTATGGGCACACCACAACATTCAGAAAGGCACTCCCTTCAGYTCAGGATGATGAATACTGCAAAGCATGCTAGGCTTTCCTTGAGCAGCTTTTCTGATGTTAGCCACATATMATTTTCTTACTGCCCCTCTATCCCAGGCTCTCTAAAAAGAAGTTCTGTCTTTCCAAAGTGGAATTTATTTCTGACTAAAACATGCAGTTTTGTTCCTAGTAGTCCACCCAAGACTRTTGGGCCAAGAAAATGTGTGTGGCAATACATTYACACCTAGTAAGACTCTCCWTGATCACTGAAAGTCCCCATTAACAGTGTATTTCTGCAGTCTTCCAGAGAGAAATCCATTATAAGATTCCAWGTGAGTATCAAGACTGCTTCCTAATAGCAGAAGGTCATAACAGCAAAATGAAGGAGTTGTTTCTATACAAAGGCATATATGGATATGTTGAATCTGTAGGGAAAAACAATGACTGATCCAGACAGCAGAAAAGCCCACTATTCTGGGAAATATCTAAAGGGATGGWACTTTGCTCTCTTGAGCTAAAATTCAACCATCTCTGACACATTATGTTTTGATTTATGATTAGTAGTTTTAAGGAGGAAATGGAAAGAGCAAGTTTTTCTGCACAGCTTCACTRTGCCAGTCTTGACTGAAATCAGTGATGCCTAAATCAGGATGTGCATTTGTATTCCCTTCCTCAGAAGGGAGTTGTGTGGTTTTTGTGGTAGCCCAAGAAGAGAAAAGTTTCAGGAAAGATCCAAGGGAGGCAGATGGCTCAATCTCCACTAAGGCAGAGCACATCATTAAAGTGTGGCCAAGGCACCCACATAGTTCACGCTGAGGTCAAAGGCAAAAAGAGAAGGAGGCCACAAGTTTTGGAATACTGGGATAAATGAATAACTGAGGCAAAGAGCAAACAAAAAAGGAGTTGGGTGAATGACTTATGAACATCCATCTGAAACAGGGCATACAAGGACATCAGTTAACAAAAYACCTGAGCACAGAAAGTGGGGGAAACAAAAAGAAGGAACGACCAAAAAGAAAAGTCTGGGGTAACTATGAAGGGTCCAGTCAGGCACAAATAGCAGAACCATAGACAGCCAGAGGGTTTTCAGTTACCTATCCAACTAATTAATGAACAAACCCTTTGAGCAAATTTGTACTGGCAGCTTGAGTTCATACTGGCTTAGTGCTTTGAATTACTAGACCACAATGTTTTTGATTTGGTACTAGATGGCCTAACATTTCTATTAGTTTTATAGCCCACAGCACAGGGAATTTGTTCACCATGTTCTTCTGGCAATCACAAAGTGATTTAGAAAAGGACATTTATACAACAATACTTCGCAAATATTCTTTTCAAGCTGAATTAAGTTGTTAGTCTTTCCAGTAATCTGTTCACTAATAATTCTCCTTCCTCAAATGCATTGTTTTAGATTACCTAYATCAGCAGACTATTCTTAGGCTTTTGAGAATTAATTTTTCAGAAGCCTTTGAGAAAGTAATTACAAAAAYAAAATGTATGCTTGAACTAAAATTTAAAAAAAGGTAAAATGTACACAAGATTAAGCCACCCACTTAACCATAAGCATTATCTAACTTTATAACTCTCTAGAAATTACTTGTTATAGATCAGCTATTCAACAATCTCTCAGGTGGCCTCATTTGTAACAGAGCTCAGCAGCAGCATTTCCTATTTATTTCAATAGGAGTTATGTAATTCAACAGCTTGGATGATTGGACAAGCAGTATTTTAAAATGGTCACTGCTAACTGCTTCATTAGGTACTGTTATTAAGAAAGATGATAAGAAATCCATCAAAGATCTTTCATTATACCTTTAGATACTTTAACACATTGGTATTTCTGGGTCGYGAATGTTTCTCTCCCAGATATCATGCAGCTATTCTCCATTCTTTGTTTCAGTAGTGTTGTTTCTACTTAGCATTTTAGTCTTGCTGTATTTATTAGGAGAGTGGATAAATAAAGAACCAAATGTAACATATTACACATGATTTTATGTTTAGGTTATGGTCTCCTATTTTTACCCAGCTAACAGTGCTTATATTCTCTTTCCAYTACGTACCTTGCATTGGTCCAATCACCTCTGCAGATTCCTCATGTTCCTTAGTGCACTCCTGTTTTTCTTAGAGAAAAGTAGGAACACATTWTCTCAGTCTTCAGCTGAAGTAAAATCATCCAAACCAGTGGTTCTTATATGCCTATTGCTCACTGTGACTGTAGCCACTGCTGGTAGAAATAGCAGAAGTCACAATAGAACAGCTTTCAATACTGGCCAGGACAATGAGTTTGGCTGCTTAGGCATCATTTAGCCTGCACTTTGCTATGGCACATTTGTATTAGAATCTGGGAATCTTTGTCTTCAGTCCAGCATGCTTTCCAAAAGCATCTTTCCGTTTCCAAGCACCTCAGAAATCTGCATCCTGATCACAGAATTTTTTTATTTAGGATTCGTGGCTGTCACCTGTGAGGAAGAAAAACAGTCTTTTGAATGACTTTGAATATATGTGCTTTAGTAATTTGTGAATTCAYTTGAATGTTCTAAAAAAATGCTTTTAATCTACAGGATGTGTTAAAAGTATCTTGCTTTGATATACATATACTTGTGGGAGTTTTTTAACCTAAACAATCTGGAGGCTGTAGTCCTCATTATTTTGTACATTTCTTTTTGAAATCTACTGTGGGTTTAACTTCTGAGCAGTAAAGAAAAATGTTTTTAATCAATGCAGTTCTTTTACAATACTCCTTCATTTCTTTCAAACTATGAAGCAAAGATACTGTATATTTTATTTTACTGACAGACCTAAGTGTGAAAAAAGGCAGCATATCTATTTTTGCAACAAATCTGTTAACTGTTATACTATAATCACACTCCTCATTCTTTTAGAACTAACTTTGCAAGGAACAACTTAGTGATACCCTTATTCCTACATGACAGCTAGAGAGAATAAATTCCCTGTACTGTGCTTCATAGTAAGCTCATGCCAAAGTTTTTACCATCATGCTATGGAACTGTAATAACAACTCACCTTCCTTTTCATTTAGTTGGTTTTTACTSAGCTTTGTTATTCCACATATGCTCTTCTGCTGGAAGCTTTTATAGCTAAAAGCCTTTGAAGAGCAGGCRGCTCTGAAGTTCTTGAAAGTTATCTGAAAGTAGTGTGGTTCTTTTTACCTTGGCTTTTACAGCTGCTCACATTCTTCTATTTCCAGGTAATGAGTGCAATGAATTTGCCAGGTTTAATGAAAAGGKGATACACATTATCCAGACATTGCAACACAGTATTAGTTTCTGCCCCATTCAACCTTTTCCTTCCTCTGATGTGTTTTAAATTAGAAAATGCAGTTTATGCATCAGTATRTTTTCTWGCAGTTTTGAAACTATTTGACACTAACCATGTCAGAATTCCATTTACTTTGGAACCAGTGCTAACGTTAGTTCTTTGAGACAAGACAGAGATATTATTAGGGATTCTTTTATGTTCCTGTACCCTTTGAGACATGTTGGACACGCTACTGAAACATGACATTTTTCTGCTGAGYTCATTTCTCTTGTGACTCACAGTAGGACGCATGGAAGCTCCTTTTTTACATCTTACACTAAATTTATTGAAAAGTCAATTGTTAGTTCTCATGCATGAGAATTCCACTGGTTTGCTAACTTGTTTTTTTTTTTTTTTTTTCAAATTGCTCATTATTTTCTATCACTTCTCCCAAAATACGTTGGGCTTAGTTCTCTGGGGCATGAGTAATGATGATGAAAGAGCACACTGGCATAAAGGCTGCAAACACAATGAAATTACATGAAGTAACAGAATAGCTAAAGTTTAAGAGATCAATTACATATGTACAGCTCTCTGTAACATTTAATTCCCAAATCATAAAACTTTCCTCAGCTTTCTAATAAAATAATCTATTCTCCCAAATAATTATAGGTACTAATTTGAGTTGCTGTGCAGAATTGAAGAGAATTCAGAGCAAACAATGCTTTCTTTGAGATAGTTTAGTTAAAGTACAACAAAGCAGGAACCACACCAGTTCTGGTTACCATAAAGACAGATTACAGTTACAGGCCAATAGGCAGGCACATTAACCAACCCATGGGAACACAGCACAAGCTGCAGCACTCAAACATAACCCAAGGCACATGCTTCAGCTCTGAGTTGCTTCATCAAACCAGCATGACTGCTTTTAGCCACAAAGCCAAACATCTCCTTAGCCAGGCACAGCACACAGCATTCCCGAGCTGCCCACTACAACAGACACACTCCCAATGGAGCGTACATGCGGAACACAGCACTCCCACGCCTCCCTCCAGCTCCTGTTTAATGCCTCAATCTGCCCTGCTAATTTATCATCACTTATCTGTGTTTCACAAACAGGACTGTGGTGCCTGTCATCCCACCCTTGACCTATGCTACTCCCATGCTGTACATGGTGGGGACATCCCACGATCCGTAAGGTTGGTGCTCCCTCCAGGGCTGTTAATTATGCCACGGGCACGGTGGCTTAACAGGTTCTGTAACAGACTAGCAGGAACATGCAAATACAATAGGTGAAACTTCTTTTTCAATTCTGTCTAAATTAATTACCATATTAATGAKGTGAATGCCATGCTTTGCATGTCTACTCCTACAGGTCTTGGCATATTTATAAAAAGTAATAGTTAATCTTTCAAAAAGACATAAAGTTAAAATGTTTTTCTCAATTCAGCACTTGTTTTGGTTACTCTCTGGAGTTAAATTGAAAATATAACAGCATTCAAAGCCTTACAACAGATATCTGTAGCATAGCATGCAAACTCAATGTATAGTCATTCAGTTCTTTGAATGAGTTCTTGAACTTAATGGATAGTCATTCAGTTCTTTGAATGAGTTCTTGAACTCAATGTATAGTCATTCAGTTCTTTGAATTTCCACAGCAATTTCTTCACTTATCCTTCTGTAATGTTTCTATGAGATGTGGAGAAAAATTTTCCAAAGAAGTAAAATCTGCTTTTTTAATTTGGCCAGGAGCCTCATTGCTCTCTTGAGAAACATGCATACATAGAAAAAACACTAGCTTCTAATGTTGGTCCTAAAACTCTTCCCTTAAAATTGCTGCTGCTTCACGTTTCCCTGCTTTGTGGGCCCTACACCACCTCYGTCACCTCTCAGGCTCCTGGATGAYAGTGGGTCTCAAAATGATGTGAGGAAAGGCTGATGTTTCCAGGCCTGCAGCTGGTGGCCAACAGACTTGCTGGGAACAGGAACAATACTAGGAACACAGGAGGATACCAGTGAGGGACACTACTGGAATGGTAGGGGCTGAGGATTCAGTTGTCCCATGAATATGCCATGGGGAGTGGGGGGACACACAACACAGTGAAACAACACATGACACAAAAAGCAGGTAGGAACTAAAAGGGTAAAAGAGGTGAACAAAATCTCTCCACAATGAAGACTGGTAGATTCAGTGGACCACATTCCAGGAACTCCCTCAGCCARCCTTGCTACTATCATCTTCACAGCTTGTTTCTCCCACTGCCCACCAGAGAAGGAACAGCAGCTAGCCTAAGCTAGGGAATACATGGAAGCTGTATGGGGTTRGGGTACCAGCCTGTGATACACCAGAGAAGCAAGAAAACGACAGAATCCAGTGATGGTGCAGAAGGCCACAGATCTTACCTGTGAGTCACTGGGAAGTTGCCTTGATCGCCATTGCAGTCACRGCTTCAAAGGATGAAACCACTAGTTTAGAAAAAGGTACATTTGAAATCCCAGGAGAAAACTGATATCACACATTAAACAAAGGAATCTTCTAAAATATGGACAAAGCATCTGCTTATGCTTCACTGTAGAATACCTCCATCTCACCACTAATCTAGGTAATGTGAATACATAATGTAAGTGGTGGTTTTCTCATCCTAATGTGTGTTTAACACAAAATCCACTGACCAGTTCTGGTCGTGGTTACTCCTGCTCTATCCACAAGTAACACTATGTGACTGGAGTGTCCCTTCCATGCAACTTTTTCAATAAAATATTCCCCAGTTATGGATTTAACATTCAATCAATGGAGTAGAATAGGTTCTAGCTGATTTCCACTGAATTGGTTATCACACATCAATAAATCTCATCTTCTTTAGAAATGATTTATACTATTTCCCTTCATTTTTTTCCACATCCAAAATCTTCCACTTCATCCACTYTTCCAAATCATCCACTCTTCCACTAGCACAAAAGTTGTCTCCATGCTCTGCTCACAGATGGATTCCGTATTTTTCACTGAATATTTACAAAAGGTTGGATTTCCTCACAGAATTGGTAATCAGTCCTGTATGTGAAGTAAATGAAATCAAAAGTAGAAAAGGTAGATGTATTCTGGCAAGTGTTTCTTAGTCAATTTCCTATCACAGATTTGGTTTCTGTAGGTCAGAAATGCATATAAGTCTCCCTGTGTCCTCAGAAAGTTATTCATATGTCGTGTCTGCTTRAACACCCATTTCTTCAGATCCTTCTGTCATTCATTATTTTTTTTTTCATCAATAAGCTGGTGTACAAATATGAATTACTAGCAAACCTTAAAATGTGAAACAAAACTATAAAAAGTTGCAGAATATAGTTACAATGCTTAGTCAAGAAAAATTGCAATGTCTGTTAAGAATATGAACTGAATATGAACTCTGGSATTTCATTCTTACTAAAAAATCAAGTGGATTTATATTTTAAAAATACCATTATCAAAGACCGACTTTGAAGTGTAGAGGAAGAATTGATATAACTAATAATRTCGTCAGGAGCAGATCATGCAAAGTACTGACACTTGAACAAGAACTTCCTAAGGTGCTGTTTCCTTTTCAAAGGCTCATGAAGATAAAAATTCCTTTCAAAAAATATTTGATTTAAAAGAAAAAATTAAACAATTAGCTTTTCCAAACCACTCCCCAAATGATGCAAGCTTAACATTCATTAATCAGGACTGATCTTATCTATTTTCTATCCTCATGTGTTAAAATTAAACTGCAGCCTCTAACACTTCCTGTTTGTGCTCCTACATCCTTAGTGGAGGTTTTTTTTTTATTTTTTCTTTTGAATCTTTAGTTTAAGGTTTTGTTTTTTTGGGTTTTTTTTTGGGGGGGGGGGGAGAACTATTTTCTTTGAAACCGTTATTGCCAACATCATGGAAATCAGTTAGCATACTTAAGCAGAAACTACAACCTACACAACCCAACAAAATAAAACACAAATCAAAACCAGTTTTGGCATGCTTCTTACTAAACCAAACCATAACAGCTCCACAATCCTTAATGCAGTCCACAAGCAGGCATTCCCTTTTGGCCAATAAAATTTTACACCTTTTTTGCCAGTGGTAACATTGCTTTTTAATATACCATACATTTCCCTGGCACTTTGGCTAAAAGTAAAAGCTGCTGCAGCTTAACTATGTTTTGACTCCTGATATAACGCAAGCATGGACACACATATATTCCATTACCTTCCRTTCTTCTCATCACAATGGGAATAATGCAGAGGCGAGAAGCGAGGCTCTCTCCTTCCATCCTGTATTTCGCTGCTGTTTCCATTTGCTCTAAGACCAACTGCTCCACCTATTTTAGTACGAGTTTGCTAAACAGTGCTCTTGGATGTCTTCATTCTCTYACGTCAGCTGGTTTCCTTATGACTGTTTCACAAGGGAGTCTGTATATTGTTATCCAAACTGCTTATTTAAAGTAAGTCCAGCATTTCCTCTTGATTGTGACAGAYGAACTGCTAGTTTACAATTGTTGGTGGGGAAAATATGTTCCCCTGGGACTTCAAGGACGCTATATTACTGAAGTTCCAGGGATATGAAATAACACAGAGCATTATATAATAAAAGGATCAAATTAACAGGACATACACACAATTATAATTAATAATTAAATAATTAAAATAAATAAAATAAATAAATAATTAAAATGCATAGTGAAACCATCTTTTCCCCCAGTTTATAAGACCTCTAACAGAAGACTCAGTCTAAGCAGGTACTAAATGCCATACTGAAATCTTACATCCTTACAGGTAATATGGACCTAAAGCTCTTTGTTACCATAATCCACTAAACAACACTTTTTCAAAAATCAAAGATCCAGATTATTCACTGAAGCAAAGAAAGGAATTCTCTATAACAAGCAGTAGGATCCTGCTCTAAATTTAAAAATTATTTTTTATAGATTGAACAAGTAAAAATAAAAAAAAAAACATTTAAACTCAGACATTCTTTAAATCTTAGATGGATATTCAAAAAAAGCTCTTCATTATTCCGAGAAATTTTCTTCTACTGAAAGCTTTCAGGGACCTAAATATAAATGAACACATAAAATTTCTCAAAACCAGGGTCACTTAGTAGAAACTACTTCTGCCAGCACTAGTTTATGTAGTCTATTACATTTTCTTTTGCCATCAAATTTTATTAAGTCCTAATTTTGTTGGTTTCTGGGTATCATCAATTTTAATTACTATTGCTTTTTTTTCTGCTGAGTTTGAATATTTTTAATCTACCTCTTTTATCTCCTTTTACCAGATAAAGAAATCAACTTTTTTTTTGGTTCATAGTGTATCTACCATACAGCTGCAAACATGTACATAAATTAGAGCAAATTAAAATGTATTTTAAGATAGATGAAAATGTGTAGCAAAGATAGAGCTGCAGAAACTGAAGCAGACCAATAATAAATGAAATGAATAGCCTAATAAAGAAACACCCCAAGCCCAAGAATAAGAACAAAAAATCTTAACAATGGAAAAAAACCACTGTTCACTTTTTTACAGTCACATTCAAGCCCTTACACTTGTCATAATATCTGTACACCTAAAATAATAATTGACCTTGGCTTGTTACTTGGTCATTCCTAAGTGCCACAACATAGAATGGGAAGTCTCAAAATTCTGCTCCTGAAATTAATAATTTTAGGAAACCCAGAGGCTTGTTTCAACCTACTAAAATTTTTTTTTTCTTACTCTACTGTCCCTCTGCCTGGATTAAATATTCAAGATTATCACAAAGAAAACAAAACTGTCCCTGGTATTAGTGCTATTACTGCTYCCTTCTGCTCATGTTGACAACACTGCATGACCAGGATCATATAGGTACACATAATATACTTTACATCACTGATTACTGTTTAGAAAAGCCACAGTACAAGGCATAAAGCATTGCTTGCAAAATAAGCTGAACTACTGACAATAAATTTAAAAAAAATATTCGAAGTATAGAAAGAACTTAGGTCTATTCCAGCAACTCTGTTTAAGGAAGGTATCTGTATGCAAATTCCATCTTGATTTTTCATATGACATGAGGCAGAGATACAGAAGTCCCTTTGATACTGACACATTTTTTATGTTGTTGAATTGCTTGGACAACACTGACAAAACTTTAAATTTTGTCCAAACCCCAAGGTTTGATTCTACAATGGAAATTAKAGATTTATGTTAAATAATGCCCATACTTAAGAAATTCTAAGTTTTGACAAATACTAAAGAAGTCCATTCAATTCTCCACTAGTAGTATTCTTCCATTTCTAGCTTGAGCAACGAAAAGTAAAGAGATGAGGAGTGTGGGTGTGGAGAAGAGGACAGATATCCTGATATCTGCCTAGAACAATATGCGCCCCATTTGGAGTTCCTTTGTTTTGGCTTGTTTTGTTTTGAGCTGCAAGAACTCTGYAAATGGGTGTTCCCAGCTTCTGGCAGCCATATGTGCTGCCTACCATCTGTTTTCATTCCAGTGCACTATGGAGACAAACACACTTTATTTTTAGTGTTCAATATTCCCTGATATTGCACATAATAAGGATTATATCTTAAGTGCAAGCCACTATATGTGAAAAATCTTCCAAGGATAGCATATGAGTTAAGATGATACAAGATCAGATGCGATTTTCACTACTTGTCAATGGAAGTACATTATCATTCACACTGAAGTTTYCTTGATTCCTGCATATCTGTGCTTTGTAACTGTGCTTGCTTTCTACACTGCCTAGAAGTGTAGAAAGCCAAATACACTGCCATGTATTTTAAAGATACATCTTTCCAGCAACTTCCTGGGGTGCAGGAAATTCCTAAGTATTAAGTGTCAAAACAGGATATGAAGAAATCAACAGCTGGATGATCAACTCTAGCCAGACAACAGTACAACAAGTACTTGTTTGAAGGGACGAATTCTGTGCACAGGCTCCCACACAGTTCTGTTGGAAACCATGCACCCCAAAATTAGTTTGCAAGCATTAACTGGATAGGATAGTATTTATGTAAACTTTAATGGAAAAGATTTCGTTGTTACACCTCAGTGCAGCCTTGGAAGGCACCCACACACGRCACACTGGACAGGCAGTTGTTCTTTAAAATGTACAGGACTAAGCTATTCTAGAAAATTTTGCCGATTTTATCTGTATCAAGCCATACATTCCTAGGCAAGAATGTTTTTAATTTCCCCATTTCATCCCCACCTTCTCRAACTTCTAATGAGTTGAATAAGCACTGACTTCTATCCACATGTGCCCTGATCAACATCTACCACTCATCCAGTATTGTACCATTACAAGCATAACTTAAAAACCAAACTTTYAGAGCAGATTGCAGCACAGAAACAATTACAAATAATTGTGAATAGTAATATTGCGAATTCAGAATATTACTGTAAGTTAATATTAAACAACTGTGGATGAGGAATTCCTCTGGTTTAAAAAAATAAATAAAATGTTTCAAGAGTTGAGCAGAAATGGAGATCAGTAGAGAAAATTAGTGCCTTTAGAACAGGTTACGTCTTATGTATGAAGAGATTCAAAGTGTKCACTGCTTATAAGGTACTCCAAAAGACAACTGAAGGAGTTCCATTARATTTTTTCATATTAGCTCTATTCAGCCTGAGTGTTCTTCTTATTAACTATTTCCTAAAATAAGCACTTCTATTAATTGCATGTGATCTTATAAACACAGAAGTACTTCTTGATTAATTAGACTGGCAAGACATTTTTCCATCTTTTTAATTAATTCAAACATTTTAATAATGGACTTCAGTTATTTTACTGTTTCAAGTTATCGGCAGCTATTACTCTTTCCCCAGAGATTCTGTCCAAAATTATGAGAAAAATAATTTTATCTTATTACTTTTAAATTCATTTTGCCTTCTGCTTTCCAATTATCAGATGTAGTCAAGGAATTTTGCAATTCCTCAAGGTCCTCTAATACACTGCAAAAACAATTTCTGTCTTAAAGCAGTAACTTTTTTAGCTATCAAGATGTTAAGTGAAAACATTCCTGTTGATTGGTGGCACCGGTCTTCTTTTTTCTTTTCTAATTCCACTGTAGTACATATATTAGCCTGAAATACTTTTTTGTTGGGTTCCCACTCAAAATCCCAGAAAATCTCAGAAAAATAATAGCTGAAACCAAATACAGAAGTAGTTTTAAATGGAAACTGGCAAATTCACTTTGCATTAGTCAAGCATTGATTAACACCCTCCCATACAGTACCCTGTCACTGTGTTGCTCTGTATTAAGGGAGGGAGACTCTTCTAATCCCCCTCATAACCTGTCCATTTACATTCTGAAGTATATAATCCATCACACATAGTTTTGTCACTCCTGAGCTCCCATAATCTACTATTTTTTAAGATTCCTGTGTTCACTGTGCATATGCAGTTTTCTAATAAAATCTGAATAGCTTTATATTTGCTTAGATTTGCTGAAAGGTCAGCAAACATTTATTTCAACATAAATTATTTTTGACRAACACTTCAAATCAATACAGAGGTTGGAAAGGTCAGAAAAAGGAAAAAAACTTTAAAAACACTCATCTGGAGAACATAATCCTTAATTCTCACTTATTTTAAAATAAAACCATAGTTTGAATTTTGCATTTTCGTTCTATAATAGAAAATTTCTTGTATAACCCAGGCATAGCTTTCCTTGCATTCTGATAAAGACTATCTAATCTGAACATTCACTCCATGCTTTATTCATACCACTGCAACAACTGACATCTTCTGGATAGTATTTTTTATTATATTGACTGAAAATAAATTTGAACACTGCATTAATGAACAGAAAAAACGCATAAACTTTTACAATCAAATTTGGGAATAGTATTTAAAGCAAGCCAAGACAAAAGCTTTAAAGGATTTCAACCTACATGCCTACCTTTTAAAAGATTTTTTAAGCAAATCTGAGTATCATTAAAAAGTATTTATAATGAATAACCTATTTTTTCATAGAAAAAATATKATGTTCTTACTCAGTTCTAAGCCTCAATTTCATCTTATAGGCCATGACAATTTTAGGTAAGTAATGAATACTTCTTTCAAAATTAGGTTATTTCCAGCAACTGTCATGCTTCCAAATAGTTCTAGRTGTTAAACACATGTTTACTACTTAGATATCTAACAAGGACATTTTGAAGCAATCCTGAAATTAACTTCATTTCWGCACTTCTGGATATTACACAAAATCAGTTTCTTTTAAAATGTCTAAATCTTCTAAYATTCTTTAAAATATTTTAAAAACATCACAAGCATCTGTTGTAATTGAGAAATAGAATTCAAACTGATTTTCCTAGTAGATTACACGCCCCCCGCCCCCAAACCAGCAAGCCAATCCCCAAACTCCAAATTAAAATCAATTACAATTGCTTTGTGCTTCTATGATCATGTTTTGCTTCCCAAAAATTGTTTCCTTTTCATTGTAAAGTTTAAGAAAAGGGTACTTTATGGTTCAATCCCTTAATTTTGGTGYTTGTTTTTATAGCAAAGAGATTTTCATTGTGATGTTTACCTATTCAATACACGTGCAGTTTCAGGTTGGTTTAATGGAAGCAGTGAAACAGGAAATAAGCTGCCAGCAGGAAGAAGAGGAATTGCCAACCAAATCTTCATGTTATATACCCATGGTATAATGTCTTCAAGGAATCCAAAGTACATTTCTGCAGTTCTGATTCTCAGAGGTCACTGAGTTTTATAATTATCTCCAAGCAATTTTCTCCACATCCTGTTAAGCTCTCTCTAAACAGCTGTGTGTGTTGCCATGCAGCTTCACCATCCCCTCCATTTAGAACTGCTTCCAACATAACTTCCGTCGCTCCAGAAAAATCTGAATAGGAGCAAAGATTTTTATCTATTGAAAGAAAAGATAAATAATTCAGTAAGCCATAGCTCCAAACAGTATATAATACAAGAATGCATGTTAAAAAGGCTAAGTTTTAATGGATGTTTAAGGATCTCAGTTGCAACTCCTYAGACCCATTTGTCCACTTAGTGGCAGGAAAAAAACAAACAAACAAAAAAAAAACCCAGCTGCAAAGTTTTAGATATTTTTCTTTTAATGTTCACATTCAGAAGACCCACTCATTGATGCCACCAGACACAGAAGCACCTATTCTTCCTAGTTAAACACAAGGATCTGGTATTCACTCTGTAGTCTTGCTTGTCCTGTTGCAGGTAGGGCGGTGTATATTAATAAAAATGAGTTTTCTACCAGTTCTAATTAAATGAACAGTATTTTCTTAACCTTGCTAAGAAACGCTCTTGGAAAAGAGAAGAATATTTGTATTTTGTTTTTAGTGTTTGCACAGTAGTCTCTCTATATGCACTAATTATTTCCAGTTACACCTCTGCTGCACAATATAATTCATTATTTAAATTCCACACTTACCTCCTATCAGAGCAATTTCTGCTGTAGGAGAGCAAAGTTTCCACTGTATTCTTCCACTCTGAAAGGTTTGACTGCTAGTYCTAACTGAAATGTTATCTATTTTTAAACCAACTGACTTGCACTCAAACTTCCAGCTGATGGAAGCAGAGGATGACCCTTCTTTTCGGGCTAAGTAAACCTACATGGAAAGAAGACATAACCAGCAAGTCAAAAACTGAGATGACCAACACACACATCAAATTAATCCTATTAACAAGGTCATAAAAATCTTAAGATAACACACTTTCATTCTTTGTCAAGCACCTGAACTTTTGAAACTGTGCAAAGTACAATTTTATATAGAAAAATCTCTTTCTTAATCCCTAAGTGTATTCCACAGTTAGGTAATTGCTCATAGCCCCGTACTAGGGAACACTAAACTACTTCAACATCCATAATGAAGTTCAAGCCACAAAATCACCTAGGCTTATTATTTTTTAAAGAAGAATTCAGGAGTTTTACAAAAGATCCCACCCTAATATAGAAATGTCATTGGTAGACTATAAAAGAGAACTTTAGTGTTACCATTTTCATGTTGAAGCCCAAAACCCCCAAAGGTGTGAGGTGTTACACTGAAGATCACCTATGTAATGATTTAAGCTATTTTCATGTGAATGTAATCTTAATGCTCATGAAGTGCTGACCTCCACAGATTTTTTAAAGTATTTTAGCTGGTTCTATCAAGAGCCTTCCCTTGATCAAATACTACTGAACTGCTGTATTTGAGCAAGGAAGCCAAAACAACCCATTAAATACYATTTGGTTGAAATGAACTAAACACAGTTTTGAACACTAGAAAAGCCACAAACATTAGTCTGTTTCATCTTTCATTATAATATCCATCAGAAAAGAAGTTTCCTTTTGTATTTTTCACTGTCCTCTAACTTTCAAACTTGGTTGTTTTGTTTCCAGTATTATTTGAAAAATGTCTGAATTCAGAGAAAAAACCTAACCAACAAACCAACTCATTCAAATCCTCTTCCACTGGACCAATTCTTTTGGAAAACAAACCTTTTTTCACAAAACCATGCATTTCAGATCCATAGGTTCTTACACTATTATTATCACCTACTGTGGTCTGTCTGTTTGAGTCCTGGCTAACCAGGTTATCTCTGGTTAATCTGATTGAATTTGTGATTTCTTCGCAGTGTACCATGAACCCCAGTGGTTATTTTCTGTTACTCCTAGTCTAATACTTACAAATATATTTTTTGTGGCTTTTAGATTTAAATGCCTTTCCACTCATCACATAATAAATGTTAACGAAGTATTTCTGTAGAGGTTCTTTTGGCTTTTAAGTTCTTGGACAGCTGCTGAATCAAACTCCAAAGCTGCATTTTGCAGAGCTACTAGAGGAGGTACAAAAAGAACAGGCAAACCCCAAACAATCTTTCCCTCTGCTGCTGTCTCACATAACACAAACAACCCCCTATGAAAAGTAATTTTAAATTCTTAAGACTCTTACACATTTTCTGCAGGATGCAATTCCTGCAGAACTAGCTTGCCTTACCCACAAGCCTGAGAGAGACCTGYAGCCATAGCTCCTWATTCTCAAGGCCATCATCTCATCYTTTTGAGGTGCTATTGAATGCAAGKGTGAAGTCTTTTTGCCTAGTCTTATAGATCAGTCTGACTCTGTTTTATCTGATTAGCTCAGCAGAATTGTAGTTTAGTTTCAGTGCAGGGAGAATATGTTTTTTGCAAAAGTGAGGATAACTAATCATTGCAGAATTGAAAACATAATGTGCTATGGGAAGCAGAGAGCACTCGTCCCTTACTCTGAGTTTTTGTTACTTCTCTTTTATTATTAGTCTACCCTGTTGTGACATCTTTTATACTGTTCTCCCATTTCTTTCCTTATTCTTTCTCTTTCATGCAGCATATCCTCCTCAAGTTACTCCCCTACTGCATTTTGCAAATCAGTTATGTGTACACCAGCAGGGAAAATCTCAAAAGGCATTTACATACTTAGCTCCATTTTCATCAGTGGGAAGTCAGGAGACATTTGGTAAGAGACCCTTCAGACTAGTACAATGGCAGAGGAAAAAAGCAGTAACATGCTTTAGTCCCTGACAAGAATGTTCAGTTTCATAGTTGTTTGCTGCTGTGGGAAAAGCTGTTTRCTAGTACATGACCCCTTCCCATTTCACAGGTATCAGTTATCTTCTTAGATTTAGAGCATATGACTCTTGTGTTGCTCAGTGTCTTGATACTTGGGAAGGATACTGGGAAGGGTATACAACAAGCTGGATAACTGAYAGGTTTTTGTCTTCTTGCAGATGGAACTGTATTATTTGGGATGACAATTTCTTCCTTTGGTTGTGTATCAAAGAGATATGATACACTATAAAGATAATCTCAAAAATAACAAGTATTTTTTTTTATTTTGTGAGAAATACTGCTTTTCAATAAAACAGCATTTTCCCAAAGGCCTAAGAAGCAACTTGTTTTTTAATTTGGTGCTCTGGCAAGAATTTTACCTACCTGCAGAGGATTTGATCATCCTTTCTGAAAGRCAAGTTAAATTTATTTCCAATTTCTTGTATCATCTGGCAATCTCACTGAATCTTAACAATAGAATTTACTAACATCAGCTGAATTCCATGGGCACCAAGASAGGTTTTGATTCCAAACACTGGCAAGGGTTTTCGGTTTTATTGGAGTTACCATACTTTTACTGTACATTATAGGCTTTGAATAATTGCTATTCTTACCATTTTCCAATCTGTTTCAACCTTTCTCCAAACAGACTCTGCCTTCCAAACACCTGCTTCCCAGCCACTTATTTTTTCATTGTTATTGGAAATCCGTGTATAACTATCATCTATTACATTGTAGACGAGATGGAACAGTTTAGATGACTTCTCCTTTTCAGAGGGAATAAAAACTACTTCTTTTCTTTTCTGAAAAAGTAAAAAAATACAAGCACTTTCATTCTCCAATTCCTAAATGCCCCCAAGGCAATGCTGCTTTYAAACAGTATGTTATAGTTTTGCAATTCAGTTTTGCTGCCAAGTGAAAAAAAAAAAAGTCCTTTTTAAGGGAGGCCATGGACAAAAGCATTTCTGCAGAAAACAAGTTTTAAACCAGTTTCCTACAGCAGATCTGCACCTTTTCCAGAGGGAAGCAGTATTTTAAATTTTTTAAAATTTTAAAATTATTTTAAAAATTTTCATATAATGACTTTTACAAGTAATTTTTTAACGAACTAATATAAAATTAAATAATTCAAGTAAGAAATTAAGAATTTCAGAAAAAAAGTTTATATGTTAAGTACATTTCTCATACAATGAATAAGTATATGGTTATTTTGAATAGCAAATATTCCGTGACTACCATATTCAGGTGCTTTGTATGCCAGTTTACAAATCAACTTTAAAAGTTGATTAAGTTGTAAAACTTAAAGTACAAACTTTGTAACTTCACGGTATTAGTTTTGTTTTTTTTTTAAAGTCATTGTTCTTATGGGTTTCAGCAGAAGAAAAATTAAGTCTTCCAAAATACAGAGAACTGCAATAAAGTTAGTTTCTCATAACAATTATAATATTAGTTTCTATTATCTAATTATAATATTAGTTTCTCAAACTTAGACATCCCTAAGAAACTCATTAATTGCACTTAATTGTCCCTATTTAGGATAGTCAGACATTCCATATGATGGGATTGCTGCAAAATTGAGGTTACACCTTTGCATCCTGACTCAAACCAAATATGACTATGGTTCTGGGAAACCGTATCTTAGAATAAAATAAATAAAAATCAAGCCTTGCTTTCAGAAACAGCAAAAGATTGATGTGAAAATCAATCAAGCTTATTATTTAAGAGATTGTGGGAGCAATTAGAATTGTGTAAATTAAACATTGATTTATTAACAAAAATAGTTGTTCAAAACCTATTATTAGTTAAAACCTGGAAGTAACTAGTAATAATAAACACAAACATTTTTTACAGTTTTTCCAATTGTTTTCAAGTGACTTAAACTTTCTAATTGTGTCAAACTAACTAATTAAAATGAAAAAAAAATTAAGAACAAAACTACACTTCCTATCAAGTATTCCCACACATTATTAGAATCAATGGACCAAAAATTATTTGTGGACCTCTACTGAATTAATAACAAACTTTTACCTAATGTTTTCACAAGATTTACTTGTTTCAGCTAAATGTGGCTACCTACCATGAAGTGTCATTACTTTACAGACCATAATCAAAAAGCCTTAGTTAGCTACCTCTACCATGATCATCARTGCAAAAGTTCAATACCTCTGGTCCTATTTCACCTCTGGCTACTCGCCAAGCCATTGAGCCCGATGTCCTTCCACCATATTCTCCAGGTTTAGGTGTTTTAGGAGAAATAAATTCAACAAGCTCCACAATAGTCCTTTCCAGGAGCTCTCTTTTTCTATTTTCTGACAAAGACTTCTGTCTCTGAAAAAAAGACATTTACGAAAAAATAAAGCRTGCAGAAAAAATGGTATTTGTAATTCTGCTCTAGAGTGACACCAGCAGGGAAAAATAGAATTGGAAAAACAGATGAACATTTAAAGTCTAGACCGACTGTTAGAAACATAAATCTTATATCACAAACACAAATATAAACCAGTCAAAATAGCAGTGCTTTCTCTAGGAACTTGCAGGCACTACATGGAATTCTTTTAAAATAATGTTTGTGCTTTGTTTTTAATACATTTCCTTGGATGATAAAACACTTCCATAACATTTTGTAYAGCTATTCACATGTATCCTATACCATAACTGTTCTCAATACTATTTGGAGGAAAGAGAAAGTAAGCATAATTTTTGGTCAAATTTTTCTTCTCTACGGTGAAGTGATATGGTCGACAACAGTCTTGGTTTTGTGATTAAGCCTAAAGAAAATATTTGGTTGGCCTTTCAAAGAGTTATTTCACTGGTTCTGTCATATACAAACTATGACATCTCTATTTTTGCAGATGTCAGAAAACTAAGAAAAACTTAGTTCCAGAAAAATTAGTGGAAAATAAAAGAATTACAAGTTTTCTTTGCCTACATGAATAAAACTATGAGCACTTCATTGGTAAATAACTAAAAATTTTATTGAGATGTTGGTATTTTGTCTGCATGATTTTCATGTCAAATATACAAATCTGGGATGTGAAGCCTTTCAGTTTTTTAACTATGGATAAACCCACATAGGGCTAAAAAATTAAGTCCAACATTGAATATATAAATTATTATACACATCATCTTTTTTTTCTGCTGTAGTGATCTCCCCAAGACATGCACATTCAGCCCACTGGAACCCAAAACTTGAGGCTGATAAGCATTTCAATTATTTCAAAAGCRGTTCTGACCCCAGCAAGTTTTGCTATTAGAGATCACAAAAGAAACATTTGAAGACTTCATTTGTTCTAGACAACAATACGGATAAAGGAAAGTAGACACAGAGAAATGATGAAAAACAGCTCCATCTCAACAAATTCCAGATGCCAAATACCAGTTTTAACACAGCAAGGAGGAAAACACACCTCTACTTGTGTTGATGGATGACAACCAGTGATTCCAGCAGTTTCCCATGAAACACCAGGACTTCCTGAATGTAACAGTTGCCTGGACATTTTGGATATCCCTATGCAGCACTACTGATCTTGCTCTAGYTCAGAGGAATTTTGATATGATTTATCCTAAATTAACAATACCAATACACAATTTCCTTCAAGAACGTTGATGGAGGGGAAACCCAGTGCCAGAGGTCATCACCATCACCAATACTGTGCTGAGAACTGGATGCCTTTGCTGCGCAGTTTTTGTAATAATAGCCAAAAAAAACCTGTTACAGAGCAGTGCTTCAAGATGAAAGGGCTTCAAAAAACAGATCTCTTTTATGCACAATACAAGAAATCACTAAGTTCCTCAAGTATAAAGAGCACAAGTATGCTAATTCTTGTCATCTCCTGCCACCCAGCAGACTCTTGCATAGACTCTTGCAGCAGGCTTGTCATACAAAACACTCAGACTGTGTGGAGAACAACACAGCCTGTGCTGGGAAGACCTGTAACTACATCTCCTACCAATGACATTGTCATCAGAAATGGATTGCAAAAACTCCAGCTGCCATGGCTCAAACTTCCTGCTTTTGTTTTTTTTTTTTTGGTTGGGCTATTTGGGGTTTTTTTTGGTGTTGTTTTTGGTGTTATTTTAACCCCCCAACATTAAGGTTAAGGTATTACCCTCTACACACATGTTTGGGCCACACATCTCTTTGGCAGACAAAAGTAATAAGAAGGAAGGTGATGGAAKAAGAAGGATGGTGAACTGCACCTTTCAAATCAGCTCTGCATCACATTTGAGTTGTGCTGTTGATGCTTCCTGAAGGACTCAGTGCTTTCAGGAGGCTGATAACCCATAGTTTAAGCAGACCCACTGCTGCGTGAGCAACAGATAATTTGAGGGCAGGAACTGAATTTAAAACCTTTTACAAGGAACACTGATTCATCTCAYATCAATCAGCATGAAACGCTTGCAATTCAACCCAAGTTACTAGTTTTCCTTTTAAGAGTTGACCTGGCTATAAGTAGAACTGTTCACAATCACTACCAAAAAACTGGAGCCTGRAGCAAATAAAAAACCAATTTGCTTCCCTGTTCCACCATCCAATTTCTAATGAAAGCAGTGGAAAGTTTAGGGTCCTCTCCCCACTTTTCACAGGGATAATATACAATGGACTGCAATAGGTCAGTGCCCATACAAAGTATGTAAAGAAACTTTTTAGTCAAAGTGTGCTATGGTACACAGAATAATATCAGATGGTGCATAGTCCAGAGGCTACAYAAGCATTTAGGAATGTGTGACCCAGATAAAACGAAGTATTTTTGAGAAGTAAAATAAGTACCGAAGAGATTAAATTATCCTTGTCTGTTAACTACTTAACAGCAAGCCACTCAACATCCTTTGGACCATTGTGYGGCCTCTGCCTGGCAACTAAACAGACAGACATTCAGAGAAGCAATGGCCACAGTCTTTGCTCTTTAGCAGAAAAGAGAAATAAAAGCCCTCAGATTCCATTTTCACTAACACTGCAGTACAGGTGRTAATGTATACTGCTTCTCTTTAGCTGCAACTTAGAAGACTTGAGCTCAAAAGATGCAGAGTTGGAGCTGTGCATCAAACAGAACAAAAACTGTAATTCCTCTAGTGTGGAGCCAGTCTCTAGGAGATGATGGGAAAAGGGCAAGTTAGAAGGGGGCCTCTACATCAGTCCTCGTATGAGTAGGATTCAGTGAAGGAAACAATACTACTTGAAGTGGACACTTGGGGCTGAACTGAGTAATGAAAACCTGCTACAGGACAACTTGATAGTTCCAGGGATGAGCTGCCTTAGCCCTCTGTGATGCCTGGATACAATACAGAGAATCTCAGACACCAGCTTTKTTAAGGTCCCCTTATTCCCATTGCATTGTCATCTTAGTGTGAACTTACGGGAAAGGCCTTTTAATTAGGACAAATCTAGGAAAAATACCCTGTTATTTTAGCAATTGGATGGCTTCTAAGCCCCTATGAGGGAATCTAATTCCTATTATAAGAGACAAAAAAATGAAGGAGCAAGAGCAGATACTTACAGGGATTWAATTTATTAATAAATTAAATKAATCAAACATTCTGAACAGCTACTGGACAAAAAAACGTGAATATGGGAGGAGTATCATTTTGAGTATTATTCAGTTTTGTAGAAAGGGAGAGTAACTTGCTCCTCAGAGTAAGATACCATTAAAAAAACTGACAAATGTGCTCTTACAGAATCACAACACAGCTTTAATAATACTGGAAAACAGTGGGGAAAGTGTGCAGCATAGAGATGAAAGGGCTGGGATTTTCCACATGTAGGGAAAGGAAGAGAGAAATACAGAGAATGTACTGGAAGCACAAGTATAGCTATCTTCCCTCTACTGTTTTTAAATTTTTATATAAAAAGTATGACCAGAATGCCTGTTCTTTCTGTCTGAAAAGTGCTTATGTCAGCTTGAGAGCTGCACAGTACTGTAAAGAAGGTGGAAAGCAGTAGGAAAGAGACCAGCACGAAGCATTGTCAGGTAACATGAAGCATCACCTGTTGGAGATGGCAATGACATTTTTTASTGAAGTTTCCTAAACTTATGTAAGTGAAACAGAGCATGATCCTACAGTGACATCAYTGAGATGACAAGGATGTCACAGTTTCCTGATTCCATCAATACTGTCAGGGAAATTTTTCAACTTCCTAGTACCCCATTTCCACCGTTCTTTTAGTACAGACAACTGTGGAGAAAAATGTGGTGATCTGTTTCTGTGGCCAGTGGATAGAAGAAAGGCCCCCTCAGATTAGTTTTGTAACCAGCAAGGGTTCAGGGCTTGGAGGGGACACCCTTAAATTCCTGCAACCCTGCAGACAGAGCATGCATTCCTCAACTTGAATTTCTGATCCTYTACCTCCTTTTGCTTTGCTGCTCTGGTTACCTTTCTCAGTGCTCCACTCTGCTATGTGACTCTAATTTTTCATTACTGTAAGAATTATTTCAAGCCCTGGTCTCAAGCATGAGTCCAGCTCAATTCTTCACAGCCTTAGTGTAYGGCTATAACTCTCAAGCCAGCAGGCCTCAAAAAAAGGCATAATCTGTTTATTAAGCCATCAGCTGTATACTACCACTGGAACTAAAGTTTCCATGCATGGGAATTAACCCTTGTATGGAAGGGAGGACAAAATGGAAACCTCAAAGTGGTTCAAAATTTTATGGTACCATAGTATATATTGGACCTAGTATATTGAATAAGTTCATGGTGTCCCAAGTAGGGAGTGGAAAAAGCTTAGCAGAGAGGTTCTGTAACTATGACATGAAGTGCAGAAAGCTCCACGTATCTTGGGGATGTTAAGCATGCACAGTGTAAATACATGTGGCTCTGAGTCAAAGCTCTACTGATGGTATCAATGCCTTTTGAAAGTCTTGGAATCAGCCTGTGAATCATTCCTCTCACTTCCTAGAGCCTGTAAAAAGTCACTGAAAGCAAATTAAACTTACATTTCTTAAAACTGTAAATGCTACTCTTTTCAAGTTATAGCAGTACTCATGCAGAAAACATASAGCCACCCTCAAGGAGTCCACATAGTCACTAAGGATTTGCAGTTTACCCCCAGCAAGTACAAGTCTGCTCCAAAGTCCCCAAGAAAAACAATATATACACACACATCTGTGTATGTAAGAGATATTATAATAATCCTCTCAYATACCATTAATTATCTTATTTCACATAAATCCAGCACTTCAACTGATTCCTATGTATTCAGGGTAAAATATGTAATTAACAGCATTTTGTATATCCACAGTGCATGAACATTCCTATGAGGTTACCAAATGCATTCCTTTGTTTGAGGACTTCACATTCTGCAGATACTTGTGTTTCACTCTCAAAGCCACTGAAGAAAAGCTACATACCGTTCTATTTAGTGCATTAATTGTCTCTCGCAGCGTTGCTTCGCTGAGTGCTGTCCTTCTAGAGAGTACTTCTTCATGTTTACAGCTGTATCTCCAGGTGACATCAACAACCTCGAGCACAAGTGGAAGAAAATAAAGCAACGAAAAATTGCCATGTACCTTGCTTCATTTAAAGAGGCTAGCTAATCAAAGAATGCTTTTATACAATAATTCTGGAAATCACACCAAGGTAGAATACATTGCACACTTGCTTCAGGGCAAGTTTGTTTATTATTAGCATCRTTACTCCTACCTCATCTTTGGAGAATGCAATTATGTAGGAGAGCTTCTTTCCCCARCCAGTTTCATAGAGAAGAGGCTTATCACAGACATTTTCACAGGGATCACAGTGAAGCCATCTTTTCTGAGATGAAGAATATACTTCAGTCCACACATGATCTATGTAACAAAGGCCAAGAATAAACAATGAATTATAAAGACAGAGCCTCTATTCTAATCTTGCAGAATATTGTAACTTTTTCCAATTTATAAAATAAAGGAACAGGTGAAAGAACAGGTTTTCTGTTCATCTGCATTTAGAAACATTACCAAAGCTTTCTCTTTTTTAAGATCACAGTCCCTCAGATTCAGCTAAAGATTGTACCATTCTGAAGTCAGTCATCTGACATTACTTGCTGATCTGTATTTCACCTCATCAGGCAAGACTGGAAATTGAATGCATATTGTCTTTGTTAGCTGACCTGCATAACTGCACGTGCTGCCTGACAGTTAATACAATTGAGAAACATGAAGTACGTAACTTCCTTTTGCATAGGGTTGTTTAAATGCTCCCAAAATACTGATACCTGTATAGTCCCAGACATATCTTGCTTCAAACCCTACAGCTCTGCAGCACAGTGTAAAACAGTTGGCCCACTCGCCACAGCGTCCACGTCTGGTTTCCAGAAGTTTTTCAGGGTTGTTATACCTACAGGAGAAAAACAAAACAGGAAAAACTGAAAATACACTTCACCTTTCAGAAATCTTTACATCATGTTTTGATGATCTGAACAGACTTCAGTACCGATCTGTCCACAGATGATAACTGAAATGATTGCTGTGCTGTACAAACACATCTGAGCAGAATGCTTCCACCACTTACACAACTCCATCATATGTTTATAGCAGGAATGAAATGAATCTGGTTTCTTAAGTTTTCAAGATTGATTTCGACATCTTAAAATGTCACTTTTGTATGCTGGTCCTTTTAATAGTTAGCAGAAGTATAAATATATCTGCTATAGACTCAGCAAAAGATGTGCATTACACTGTGATTTTCTACAGAAGTGTTCCCTGCAATAACAAAACCCTACCTATATATGGCTGCCAATATTAACATATTTTATTTAGAAGCTGTACTTCATCAAATYAACATTAAAAATCCCAGCCAAACCAGACAAGCATTCAGAACAAGTCCACATAAAGAAAGTACATATTGTTTTTWAAAATCTCTGACCTTCTAGAGAAATTGCTGGTTCATCAATCATTCTACCATGTTACTTAAAACAGCTTCTCTATTCTCTGAACTAATAGATTCTCATCTCTTCACAAAATGCACAAGTGAAAAGCTGTTTCTTGAAAGAAAAAAGACAGCAAAYTTCTGTAAGCTCACCTTGGGAATCTGTTGGAGAGCTGACACTGGTTGCAGTAATGGTTTTCCACTCGACTGGCATCCCACCTCAGATCATCATTAGTAGGCAACAGGTAGTCACTTTTAGACTCTGTCTGCCCACCACACCTGCTGCAAGGAAGACTATTTACCCAATGAAAAAAAGAAGTTTTAAACCAGTCCAAAAGCTCCAACAATARGAAGTCCTCTTCATTCACATGTGCACCTGTAAAATTTATACAATACACAGTTAGTGCCTATGCCAATCAGTATCACGTTCAACTAAATTACTTTTTCATTTGAACTATCTCTGGGCCTATATATGTATTTCTATTTCTAAAATATTTCTAAATATTCTATTTCTAAAATATTAAAAAGCTTCATATATTACTTAAACACATACAAAAAAAATCTTAATTGTCAAGACTGAAAAAGTTCCAACTTAAGAACAAAAAACTGCAGTCCTAAATACCACAGCTAGAATGAGAGTAAGAAATTGCTCAAARAAACAAGTCAGATATACATTTAAGCCTGGTGAAGTTTCTCATGCCTTTCATGCTCTTCCAGGGCTTTGGATGAGAAAGTTAATTAGTTTTCTGCTCCTAAATATTTTTTTTTCTATTCTTAGCTACTAAACTAGGAATAGCAATCGCTTTGGTTTCAAAATCTCAAAGAACCAGACACTGGCAGCCRTCTATCAACCAGGTGTGCAGACTTTGTAGAAACATAGCTTAATTACTGTAGAACATACGTATATACCATGTCCAATGCCCAGAGAGATACTCTTCCTTCTCAGACACATAAACATTCAAATAATTCTTCCTAATAACTTCATCATCTAGGCCACATTGCAATCATAGRTATTACTGCCTGGTTATTTTTATGCACTACAGCTTTATTCTAGTCACATTGCAGACAGGTTTGACTAATTAATATTAACATATAAAGTAAATTTGTAAAAATGCCGCTTAAAGGAAATTGAAGGCAGTTGCACCAAATTTATGCACTAGCTCCTTTTTTAGGATGGTGAAAAAAGACTAAGGTGAGTGTTTTGCGTATTTAAGCACAATTCACATCCTGCTCTGAAGCTGTAGCCATCTTTGGTACAAAAGACTCTGTAGGAGCACTAATACTATTAAACACACATTGCCAAGACCATGAAGTGCATGGGAAGAGATCATCTGTTAATCAAAGCAAGAACACCTGACTTCTAATTATAGTAAAATTTCCATTTTCTACTCATGCATGTGAAAAACGTTTTTGCTGGAACACTCAGAGAAGGGCTTACTGCTTGCAAAATGGATACGCTTGTATATTTAAACTTTTTGCTAAAAGCTGAATGAGAAGATTTCAAGCACAGGCCATCCTCTCTTTTCCTGGATAACAACATTCAAACTAGAACCCATCTGAGAAAATATGACTGCTGTGATATAAACACTCTTCTCTAGAATCGCAAAACAAATCTTTCATTAAAACATCACATGGAAGAATGACAAATGTGATTTAWTTGAACAGAAAACAGTTGGCTGTGATACACAACTATTTTTGACTGTTCAACTCATATTTCTAATGAAGCATGGCAAAGGGAAATAGTAAAATTAAATCTATACTTCAGATAAAATTACTGTAATCTTTCTAGCACAGTCTTTATGAGCCAAAAATGCTTATTATGTGTTGCAAGGCCTATCCTAAAAACAAGTGTTCCCTAGCACTAAATATTTATTCCCACAGGTGGCAGTTTTAATGCAGCAGGACAGATAAACTAAAGAAGCTGAAAGTCAATTACCCAAACATCTCATACACAGCCCATTCCRAAACAAATGCTTCTATAAAGCGCTTGAAAAATGCTTTCAAACTGTCACAATCCAATACAGTGGAATTCCAACCCTTCTCCTTTGTTTGTATCTAAATTAAGGTCTGGAAGCCATTTTGACTAGATCAGCCTGCTGGTTTGGGAAGAAGCAGAGGAACATTATCCTACCCTTCCTTCCCCTTTTTAAACAATGTCCACTGTAGTATTAGAACAGAGTCTAAGAGGTARCATTTTAACTGACAAAAACTTCACCCATTCACAACAAATTTGCATTTATGAATAWTAATTTTAGACACTGATGTCACAAKTATTTATGCCCACATTTCATATCTAGCTCTAAGAGGAAGGCATGTGAATAATCCTATTCATTTAAGCATTAGCAAAGAARGTAATAGTTTGTTTGTATCAGGCTGTATCTTGCAAAGGTCTCATTCAAAATCTCACAAAAATCACTCTAAAAAAAAGAGAAGCAATATTTTAAAATTTTATTCTGAATTAAGAACTGTAGTATGTACAGGAAAGTTGCGCTCTGACAATTTCAAAACAATGGCTATTTGAACAAGAAGCTCCCCTCCTCTTGCTGTAACTATTTCACTTGAAACTCAGGGAGTGCAACATTTGTTTCCCCAGCATTGTTTTCTACTAATTTCAAAATTAAGAGTCCAAAATTTCTACATAAAAGCAGTAAAAGATGGATGACAAAAGCAAACTAAAAATAAGAGAACAGACTAGTAAATTAGGAAGAAAGCAATTTCAATTTAGAAACAGCATTTGGAACCTGCAGACATATGACCAAATAAAAACACCCAATGCACAGTATGTTTGAAAGAACATTTCCACTTTCATATACACTTGAACTTGGCCGCATTACCTTTGTCCAGTCTTGTAGCTTGAGCTAGCTTTTTCTGCGCCTTGCTTTTCAATTCCTGGAGGGGAATTGCAGCTAGTGCTTTCTGCTGAATGGAAGGATTCTCATACATCAATACAAGATCCTCAAATTTTGTTTGAAGTGTTTTCAAGATATTTGCAGCCTGCAAAAGGATTTTCAGTCACAAGATSATTTATGAACTTTCACCTTCAGGCAGAATAACCAAGCTCTCCTATTTTAATTTAAGTCAGTCAGAATTCTATGCTCATATTTACATTATATATTTATTTACCAGGTGAAATGTTTGCTTGCAATTCAACAAAGATTGAAGATATAACCAACCACCCAAACTGCAAAGGCAGTCTTGTCATCTCTGAGCATTCTGAATGGTGCCCAGAGCAAAAAGTGTACTAACTCAGTGAGAAAACAGTTTTTAAAGAGACATCTGATGGGAAAGTTTTTGACTTATTTCTCTTCCCCACCTCATCTCCCCACCTTTCTTTCAGACACCTTTTACCCCAAAATAAAAAAAAAGGTGTAATCACTTTCATTTTCTGTACACAGCAACACTGGTTTGTAGAACTCTATTATTGATGAACTCTGCTTATTATTTCTTATTCATGAATGCTGCTTGCCTGTGTCTACTTCCTTCTTTCACAGATGATTTCTGATAGAGATTTGAATAGACAGCGCAGTGGCATACACAGAACAATCTGTTTCAGTAGCAACTGGATACAAGAACTAGGTTTCTTCAGTTACTTGAAGTGTCACCTGGTGGTATGCTGCACCCAATAAGATACACCCACAAATACTGAAATAAGCAGCTSAATTCAATAATGAAGTTGCTACCTGAGCAAACTATTTATTTCCATTTAAAAGGGAACAATACAGAAAGTAAAATGGGATTTTGAAACTAAAAGTCTGGCATATTTTTGGGGGAAGTCTRCAGCCATGCTAAATTACCTCTTCTCTGTTGCCACATCATGCTTCAGCCTTTAGCATTGTTAACTACCATCTTAATTCAATCAAAAATGCAACACTTTCCTGAGAGGCTGGCAGCAAATGTAATATAATACACACAGATGTGAGAATTCTTCAGAAGACAACTTATTTTAAAGGAGCACTCAAATTACAAGAGATTGTTTTGATACTGTATAGTACTGCACAATCAGTCCTTAATTTTTGTAAGTGCTAAAAGAAGACAGAGCTGGTTTTGCTTTTCCCGCAGCTCACAGGCTCTAGGTAACCAGTTTAACATAATAAACTCCACTGTGTCCAGATTCACTTYAATGCAAATTGAAAGAAATAAGGGACATTAGACACTGCCAAGGGCTTAGACCTTCATGTTCCATCAGCTTCCTGAAWGGGTGTTCACGGATATTGTTCAACACAGCAAGAAGTCACCCAGATTCTTTGACAAACTCAGGTTTTGTCACAGGCAAACACCATCAGTTTTACAGTAGTGCTTAAATRGTTTCACAGAAGCCACTGTCTGAAGTGTTATGCAAACATCTTACAAGCGTGATGAACCTCACTGCAGTTCTAAGTTTGGATATGTCCTTCCTCCTGTAATCACTGTGCCATTCASGAGGGGATCAGAATCCAGCCACCARAATWAGCAACTAGCCAGAGCTCTCCTTTCCCCAAGCMTCAAGAATATTTTATGAGAAGAAATGCAGAAGGAATCAATGAGGCAAAATAATGATGGACTAGGTTCCTAGAACTGTGCATTTAGGAATATTCCTCTATGTTTCAAGTGAGCCCCTTTTCTCTGCACTTACCAGGCCTCCCATGAATGACAAGGTGAAGCACACAGGGAAGAAAAAAATGCTTGCACTACAGAAACAACTCTAAATTGCTCTGACATCTGTCAGCAGCACATACAACAATAATACAGCTATAACTCTGCAGCTTACTCACTGAAAAACAGAACCCCCACTGCTGTGCAAGCAAAACGGCCAAGTCATTGCCAGACTTCCTTCCAATCAATTCAGACTACATAGACCTATCCGGTGTTCCCTGTAGAGATCAGCTGAAATACAGCATTCTAACAGAATGCCAACATTGCATTACCAAAATAGTGCCTGGTGCCACCACTCAGGCATGGGAGCATGGAAAATTAATAGTTTCAGAGAAGTGGTTCCGCAACTCTGATGGCTGGCATAYGTCAGGACAGGGTAACTACAAACCGGATGGATTAACCTCAGAATACATTGTGTCAACTTGAAATCTGCAACATTGTTCTCATATSAAGACCAACTTGTAAAGCTTTGAGTACTAAGCAGTATAGCAGCAGCAAGTAATTCTACAGGTTTCATATTCACTTCCAGCCACCATTGCAGAAGTGGCTGAAACAGTAAAAATCTAGAAACAGGCCAAAATAACCAACCCAGGAACCACCAAAAAAATTAAAATAAAACTAGTCAGTATGTTTTAGAGGCAACTACTGCCACGCTAATCTTTCCCAAAGGACATTTTGAGTGATGATGGATCACTGAGTGCTCTCTATCCCCAAAAGCCATCATTTCAAACAATGCTTTGCCATTTCTCATTCACTGATTTGAGAGGGCATTGGAAAGCAACAGCAATAGTTCATTGGCAACCATATATTAATAATATAACTTAAAGCATGCAAATTGTGTTTAAGGATGCATAAGAGAGCTTTTGGAAGGATTCATCTTAACATCAACTTTGAGACCAAAGTGACATTGGTTCTAGAAGGAAAAGCTCTTCAGAAAGTTAAACCAAAGCATCCTTAAAAGCTTCTATCAAAAGGCATAACTCAGTTTTTCAAAGATATATGAATGAAGTGCTGAGTCTTCTCCCATCACAMCAGTTAACATCAGACAAAAGCACTCTGCCTCCAACTTGATYGGRAACTTCATCTCAACYTCTTGGACAAGGGAAAMTTGGYCTGAATAACTATAAATTTGTCCTCRTYTGTCTAGGTTCCTACCTTTAATCACAGGCATATGGGAAAAAATAAAGCCATCCTCACAGGTTATATAGAGGTCATAATGCATGAACCAAGASGCTAACAATTATAAACATTATGGCTAGGCTTCTGTTCTCTTGCTGGCTTTCAACTACCAAATATAACCCTAGTCTTAGCTTCCCATCTCTCCCCTTGTTCCCCATCTYGTGGCTCCCTTTCAATATAAATCAGCTTTTTTCACCCTCATGAACAGAACATTTATGAACATCTTCAACAAAATCTGTTGCTAATATTCCATTTATGCCACATTTCATGCTTAAATTGCATGTACACTGAAGAAAACACTCAAAAACCTTCAGAAACCGTTGGGGAAAAAGGTCTAGTCCAACCTTCTCAAAGCATGATTACCCATGAGGTTACATCAAGTTGCTCTAGGCTTTACTCAGACAGAGCTTAAAAATGTGCTCATTTGGAGGCTATTCAGTTTCTCTGAGCAAATTGTCCCAACAGTTAACTCTTCTTCAATCTTTATATTCAAAACTAATGAGCCTATGAAGTTTTCAAGTGATAATTACCATTTCAAGAGATTGCACAAGTGATGCCTCTGCTTGCTGGCGGGCAGGTGGACGAACAGAGTCAACAGGTCTTGGAGGCCGTTGTGCAGCTGCCTGAGTGCCACCGACAGTGTCAGAGGATCCTGATCTGTAGATCTGGTTTGACTCATTCAGTCTGCTACTCCTCTCTCCTGCAATTAAGTCTCTGATTTTACGTAGTTGTTCRATCGAAGCTTCCTTAGGGAAAACCAGGTGAGTTTCTCCCTGGAATTGAGACAAATGGGTTCAGCAGTTCATGCAGGTCTAAGTTAGCCAATGATCTGTAGCTACAGCTAACAGTTTACTGGAAGTTAGCACCCTAAGGCTTGGCAGGAATCAGCTTTTTAGATTAGGTTCTTTACAGTAGAAACTTGAAGTCTCTCACAGCTTCAGAAGCTTACCAGAGCAAGAACATATAGTAAATCTAGAGAAAGAGGGCTCATAACATGCTCTTGTTAGTAACTTTTTTTGCAGAGCCGTTCATGGACTATGCAGTTATGRTTTGGCAGAGAAAGCAGCAAAACCAGAAATGAACTGTTAATGCTCTGTTCTCACAGCAGAGCAGTAAAATCCTAGGTAACACAGGAATATATCCAATGTTGAGGGAAGAAGCCCCTAGAATGGCATCTGCTGGAAATTCTTTTTCATAYTGGTATCTTTTAGGTCTAAGTTTTCAGATAGGAAATATTTATCTTATTGAGACTGGTACCTGGGTTGATTTCTGGGTTTTATTTTTGACTGTAGCATGATTATTGGTAGTGTAATAAGAGATCAGTAGTTATGACAGAATCAAGCAGCTGTGTACTCAACATAAAGAAACAGGTTACTAAAAACATGAATATCCTGAAGCATTCATCCTTAAACAGTTTCAGTTTCTACCACTSCAACACTTCTATTTATTAAGCTAATTTGTTTACCTACAGTTACTTCAGGTCACAATATCACTGCAGATGCAGACTTCACGTTAACACCTAAAATCACCACAAAACTAAATGGAATTATTCAACCCATTATCAAGCAGAAACAAAAGAAGAAACAGTATTAGCTATGCAACTGAAGAAAAATTTGTGAGTTCCAGCTTCGACTGACACAATAGCTGTAAGACTGAGSCAACACACTCTGAGAGACCTGCCTCAATGCTTCTCTAACTATACCACCCACCTCTTGGCTAAAATACACCATWAAAAGTCTCCTAAGCACCAATATGTGAATAAATCCATAGACCATTTCTCCCTCTGCAGTTCCCACTTATTTTAGCATGTTTTTTAATTATAACAATTACAGTAACTAACTTAACTCGAAGAGAAGGCAGAGGTCTCATGACAGCTGGACCTAAGTAACATAACGTACATAACCATACAGAAGTGTGGCATCAAATAGACAAATTAAAGCAAAGCAAGAGCGAGAGTTTTGCACCACTAAGCAAGAGCTGGGTTTTCGGCCCAGCTTTCCAGTAATTAAAAAAAGCACTTCTAGTTTAACAAGCTTTGGCGGTTTAAGTTCCACCAGGACAGGGACCACTTCAGAATACAAAGCAACCTTTGAAATACATCTTTCTGACTGCAACAGAGTCAAGATTAACTCAATACTATTTTAGGATAATATGTCATAACTTTTAAAAATGGGTTTTGAAGGACTCACCCTCCTACTACTACTTGAACAGTCAGTCTGTTGCCCTTCACTGCTGTCATGACAACACCAGTACTTGAGCAGCAGCACTATGAATTGGCTRAAAAACATTTCTGATTTTGTTTTGGAAGATTAAATTTTAATCATATCAGCTTTCCTTATCTAAATTACTATGGGGCCTTACTAATGGTAGACCCTGAAAAGAAAGAAGACCCTGGCTTTTTTTCTTTTCCCTTTCATATGGCAGTTTTAACATAACATTCACTTATATGAGTTCTGATGTTCATCTGATAGTGGATTGCTACAAAGAGAAGCTTCACCCTGCTTCCCACAATTTCCTTTGTGCCAGCATGGATATCSAGCCATTCAGTAAATGAGCAGTGCGCCTGAGCAGTAGAAAAACAATCTTGTCATGAATAAGGTTAGCTTTAGCTCCACCCTTTTTTTGAAGCAGGCACATCTAAATTCTTGGCTGGCTTGCGGCAGATACTTGCAAACAAGCACTGAAAGAAAATACCAACTGCTCTAAAATCTACTGCCTTGCACCAGAGAGGCAGAAAAAAAATCCAGTTTAAATTTTACCATGTAAACTGATGAAGACACTTGAAATTACTAAATTATACTCACCTCTTGAAACCCCATCTCAAATAAACATTCAACTGCTCCTCTGACAGGCAACAGCCTTGTGGAAAATGCTGGATTTCCAATCCGAATTAATCTGTATTTTTCTTCATAGGGATTCCTGAAGAAATGGAGAGTTGTGATTATGCTTGCAAATTAAGTAAACACATAGAAGCTGGGTAACTTCACTATGAGAATTTTTTTTAAAGTTTAATTTAATTTACATCTCTTAAGTGAAACCTATGTAAAACTTTAACTTAATTAATGTCCTTTTGCACGAAACTCTGGGAGTTACTAACTGGTGCTAAATTTTATCTTGCAACTTATGCCCACAAATTCATGTTTGGTAGTCCTACTCAGCAGGGCTTAGTCTGTAGTGACACTTAGAGACAATTTCAGATCCCCCTATACCTGGCACACTCTAATTGAACCCCGCAGCTTGAGGCTGGATGGCTTTAGTCACACCATGGAAGCTGTGCTAAAATGAAACCACTGTAGTCCCCTTGTGCTTGCTGCCTCTCAGTTTCTCTTTCAATTATTTTAAAAACCTTCTCTAAAAGAAGTCAGCCCAGGACTCGCCATTCTCTGTCACACAGCAGCGTCTACAAGCGGTAGACAAGCCAGATATAGACAGGGAGGGGCATCTCATACACCTCGAGCTGCTGGAAGACATCAAGGTCAGGCACACGTACTGCCGTGTATGCACACCCTACAGAATCACCTCGCAGAAATTCAGCCATAATTTATTATTAGAACAAACTTTGCCAAATCAGAAGCAAAGGACAACGGAAAAACAGAGTAAAAAAATGAAGTTAAAATGAAGTTAAAATGAAATTAAAATCAAGTTTAAATCAAGTTAAATGATTTGCTATGCATTCACTTGTTTTTAGGTGGTTGAATACTTGCAGAATCATGAATCATGCATGATTTCCCCCTTAATACACAAACTCTCAAACTTCCAAAGCAAACCAAGCAGTAATAAATCAACAAAAACCCAGAACACTACTTAATTTTAAAATAACGGCAAAAACACGCGAGGCGCTTCTGAACTTCGGTAATTACACAACAGAACCCGAGCTGCCGCGCGGAACCGGGGAGCGGCCGGCGGGACCCTGCGGCACCGCCCGCGGACCGAGCGCGGCGATCCCGCTCACCGGAGGATGTTGTCCGCGTAGGTGAGGAGCAGCCGCGAGGCCTCCAGGAAGATCTCCCGCCTGTTCTGGCACAGCTCGCTGACGGCGGGCGAGCCCGGCGAGGACGAGAGCCCCAGGGCGGCCGCCATCGCTCCGCTCCCCTCCCCTGCGCCCTCAGCTCGGCCCCGCCGCGCCGCCCGCTGCGCACACGCGATGGGAGCCCCGAGGTCACCGCCCTCAGCCGGGCAGCGCATGCGCGGTACGAGCGCTGAGGCACCGCCCGCGGTCACCGCCGGCGCATGAGGGGGCCTTAAAGGGCTCGGGCGGGTTKAATCCGTACCCCGCACACAATCCRCTCGCAGAGCCCAGGGATTTGATTTGTTTCTGTGCAGAAAGGGGTGCACAAGGCCAGCATGACCACTACCAAAATCACTGTTTATACATTTAAGCAAAGGCATTRATGTTCATTGGCTATAAGTTACACAGGTCTTTTATTAATTACTGTTCTATCTTTTTTTGGTTACATGATCCTCTTTCTTCTTATGCTAATTAGTCCACATGCTCGATTTTTCTCTTGAGTCAATGGTTGCAAACTCCCCCTGCCAGAATTACCTTTCACCGGGTCAGAGCTGATTCCAGCACAACTGGCTTTGTTAGTTTCTTCCTTATCTTAGGAGCTCTGCCAAATGTCYTTGTGTCCAATTCTGCATTCTTTGYGCCCACTGTCAATGGTACACCCTTTTTCCAAGCTTCGTACACCTCACTTGAAGGGAGAGATCACTGAAATATGTCTAGCCCAAACAAAGCAATTCTGTCGATATGCCATTTTTCTTTCTAGCACCTGGACATAACTCACAGCTCGATTAAATCTTCTTTCTGGTTGATCGGGCTTCAAAGTATACAAAGACCAAACATCAAAGAGCATAACTTCTTAAGAAAATATTTACCTATTCCACATTTTGCAGCAGCGGGAGCCCCTTGGCAGGCAGTAACATCACTGAGGATATAAATCCCCTCTGGTACTGCCCTGGTTTGAGGGTGCCACACCTTCAGGCTCACYTTGAGCTGCAATGTCACTGCAGTGACATGGCCCTGCCTTGACACCTGCCTGGCATTACTCAGTCTATCCCAGAGAAGCAAAAAAACCCCAAAAAATCCCCCACCGGTTCTCTTCTTCTAGACATCTGGTTAGTGCTGCTGGTGAAAGAACTGTGGTGAAAAACCTCGGACACAAAGGTCTGTGGAGCTTTGCTTTATTAGGAGTGCAGATGTAAAGAGTTCTAAGCAAGAGAGGTCTTTAAAATTCAAGCTGCCTTCTGATTTCACAGCTAGCATTACACTACAGCTCTGCTGTCTGCTTCTGACAGGCCACTGCTAATCTTCTACGACTTTTTAAAGTAGGGATACATATCCCTCACCAAAGCTGAGATTTAACACACAGCATTTCACTTTTGCTGAGATTACATTTATTATTCCTACTAGCATAGTTTAAAAGTTACTATTTTAGCCCTCAGGATCATGGAACTCGTTCCAAAGTAGTATTTTTTTTTTTAATTTAAGATGATGCCACGTTCCTTGGTTGCTGCTTCAGCTTTTAACTTCCTGGTTTTCATCTAGGCATGTGACTCTCAGTGTTGGCAGTCTCTTCCAATGCTTGACAATGCCTTCAATAAACAAATTATTCCTGATATCTAATCTAAACCTCCTCTAGCACAACTTGAAGCTGCTTCCTCTTGTCCTGTCAGTCCTATACTGGGAAAAGAGACCGACCCGCACCTCACTACAACGTCCCGTCCGGGGGATGTAGAGAGCTGTATTGCCTATTATTCCACCGGAGCGTTTGAAGAGTTTCAGGGTTTGTTTAGTTTTTTTTTTTATTTATTTTACTCTTTCTTTGCGTGACTGAAACACGTGGGTCAGGAAGGAAATGATTTCATGCCCTCTTCCAGCTCAGCTCTCTGGGCTACTTACATGACCACGCTCCCCGCCCGCCTACACCAGCGCCCCCGGGGCGGGGCCAGGCTGCAGGAAGCACCGCTGGGCCGCGCGTCCCCTCACATCCCCTTCTTTCCCCCCGCGGCTGCAGAGTGGTACGGCCTCGCACGGGAACGAGAGAGGGGGGAAGAGCGAACCATCGCGGAGCGCGGGGGAGCGCGGCCGGCGGAGGTACCGCTGAGGGCTGGGGCGGAGGGAGCCGGGGGTTTTCAGCTGGGCCGGCGGCTGACGCTGCCCCGAGAGGGGCGGAATGGGGCATGGCGGCGCTGGGCAGTCCAGCCGCACCGGGGTTTGACTCCAGGTGTACACATTAAAGTAGCCATTGCCCTTTAAACACCAGAGGGTGTGCGGTAGCTCTTGTTCCTGTGGGTAGCTCTTGTTCCTGCGCCTGGTTTTCCCGCACGGCAGGTATCGGGCGCTGTGGGGTCGGCTGGACGCCTCGGTACCGGGTGACGGCATTTCTGCGTGGGGCTGCGGGACGAGGTGCCTTACAGAGCTCTGCAGTCACATTATATGTGTATRTTGAGATATATGTRTATATATYTRTATCTATATATRTTTATACRTACACACAAAATATGTTATACATTATTATACATATATATAATAATGCGTATAAATACGTTATTTTACACATATATGCTGCACAATATATATAATAAAGTGTATCTATAAAACAATATGTTATACATTATACTCTGTAAGTATGTATATAATATCACTGCAGAGGTCTGTATTATATTCTATATTATGCATAGAATATCCGATATTCATTATAAATATATCTGTTTTATATTCTATATTATACATAGACTATCCAATATTCGTTATATATTTATATATGTAGCATATATCATACATAATATTACATATTATATTTGTTTTATATACATGTACGTACCTACACATGTACACACACTGCTTCTTATAAAGTTCAGGCTAAGCAGCTAAAAAAAAAATGAAATGGCAAATTTGGGTCAGGATTTTAAGCAAGAATATTTTTATTATAATTGATTTTAATAATTACATAAAATGTGTATAAAATATCATAAGTAATTACTTTTTTTTTTTTTTTATCCACCATCTCAGGAAGTGTTTTGACCAGGCTGGATGCAGCTCTCTGTAGCCTCACTTAGTGAAAGTGATCCCTGCCCATTGCAGATGTTGGAATGAGATGATCTTTAAGGTCCTTTCCAACCCWGGCCTTTCTGTGGTTCCATGACATTTTTAATAACAATGCTGTGCACTTGTGTTGCCACAGGTCTGGATATTTGAGCAGGAGTGCATTAGCCCAGCGGCCCCTTGTGGTCTTCATACAGTTCCCTGTATTWTACCAAAGAGCTGGGGATGCCAAGTTGCCCTTTGTACAACGCAAAAAGCAGGTCACCTGTCAAAACCTGTCCCGCAGGTGTTGGCAGAGCTGTTCTGCAGCCTCTGCCCTGCTCCAGCATGTCAGATGTGTGCAATTAGACCAGCTCTGGACGGGGTGGTGGCCAAGGCAAGGCGAGAGAGAAGCATTATGGCACAGTAAAGCAGCATCACTGCTTAGCGTGGTCCTCTGGTCCTGCCTCAAGTACTTGAACTCAGCAGACGCCTTCTGCCATCGCTTGATGTGCCTCTTGTTGAGGGGTCTGGAGGTGTTGCCTTCAACGAAGGTGGTGCTGTGGCACGTCTTGCTCACGCCATTTGACATACTGCCCCCTGACAGTGTAGTAACCCAAGGCTGATAAAGGGTAGGTGGAGGTGGAAAGATAAGGAGTCTTGTCTAAGATACGTAATTACATTGGTAGCAGAACCAGAATGAGTTTATTGACTCCTCTTTGAGGTGACATGAAGGTTGAGTTGACAACATCCTCGGTTCAGTAATGGCAGGACATGCACTTTCAGGTGAACACACTTTTTCCCTTAGAAGAATGATGTTCATTGTTTCTACCTCCAGCCAGCTGGTGGTTAAARCTCCAGGGGAAATTTTGCAGCAAAACCAGAGAGTGCTTTGCAGTCCACAGTGGTGCATAGTCGTGTTCATTGGCAGCTTAAACTAGATGAGCCCACTAGAGTAATTCCCAAAGTGAAAATGTTTCTGTGCCATTATCTGCCAATACTCATACTATTCCACATTACAGACATTATATCCTTTTCTTAAGAGTTGAAAGTAGGCTGTCATGTAAAAAGCAGGCTATTAATTTAGTGTTCTTGGAATGTTTTCTAATTGGCTGCTTTATTTTCATGTCTTTGTCTTTCTCCACCCCCTCCACCCCTCTCTAGTTACAGGAATGTGCCTGATTATTGCCACCATGTTCTCACAGTGCTCACAGGATCTGTTAAAGGTTGCAAATCTTCATCTCCGGAGTCTGAATTTAAACCTACATTTACAAAACCACAGAAGGGCTTTCAGCAAGTCACTGCCTGCATGTCGAAGGAAAGTAGTTGTTACAGGTATTGGCTTAGTGTCCCCTCTTGGTGTGGGGACTCAGTTTGTGTGGAAGCACCTTCTGGAAGGAGGCAGTGGCATTATATCACTAGATGGGGAAGAATATGCAARCATCCCATGTAGAGTGGCTGCGTGTGTGCCAAGGGGAAACAAGGAGGGTCAGTTCAGTGAAGAAAGCTTCGTGTCAAAGTCAGAKATCAAATCCATGAGTTCTGCCACTGTGATGGCCATCGGTGCAGCAGAGCTCGCGATGAAGGACTCCGGCTGGTCTCCCCAGTCTGAACAGGATCGCTTGACTGCYGGTGTGGCAATTGGGATGGGAATGGTTCCACTGGAAGAAATCTCTGACACAGCTGCCTTATTTAAAACAAAGGGTTACAATAAGGTCAGCCCGTTTTTTGTCCCAAAGATTTTAGTCAATATGGCAGCAGGCCATATCAGCATTAAATACCAACTGAAAGGGCCRAATCACGCTGTGTCGACCGCTTGTACCACAGGCGCTCACGCGGTTGGAGACTCTTTTAGATTCATTGCTGCTGGTGATGCTGATGTCATGCTGGCTGGAGGGACTGAGGCTTGCATTAGTCCTTTGTCTTTGGCTGGATTTGCAAGAGCCCGAGCCCTCAGCACGAGTTTTAACTCAAGCCCTAAAGCGGCGTGTAGGCCGTTTGATGCGCAGAGGGAAGGGTTTGTGATGGGAGAGGGTGCTGCTGTGCTGCTCTTGGAAGAGCATGGACATGCCCTACAAAGAGGTGCTAGGATCTATGCA